CAACCTTCTTAAGACTGTGATGTGCAAAGTATTGTTATTCAGTGTTTGAGATCCACCTGGGTAACAACACTTCCTGTATATAAAGTCACTGTCAGTGCTTCCTATGAAAATCTTGACATTTACCACCTACTGGCATTTACCTAAAGGACGGTATTTGCAGTGTAACCTGGCACTTAAATGGGAAAAGTCAATATAACAACCTAAATGTTAAAATATGAGTTTTCATTTGCATGGAAGGCCTGACTTCTTTCTAGAAGAGCACAAAAGGGACCACTGTGTGAAGGCTGGAATTTCTTTTTCAGTTCTTTTTCAGAGTACAAGAGGCATTTTTTTTGATCCTTTTATAAAAGATGACCAGCAATCCAAAATTTGTATCTAAAAGCTACTTATTTTTTTCTCCTTTCCTTGCAACAGGTGCCTATTCCCTGTCTATTCGTGACTGGGATGATATGAAAGGAGATCATGTCAAACATTATAAGATTCGTAAACTTGACAATGGTGGATATTATATCACAACTCGGGCACAATTTGAAACTCTTCAACAGCTGGTTCAGCATTATTCAGGTAACTTTCCAGATAACACATAGCACTCTTAATTACTTTAAAACAAGTGTTTGCTGCTGAGCTGAGGGATGTGTGAGATGCCCTGTAGAGTCGTTTGAGCTATGTCTTCTGCTTGTTGTAATGCATCTTCCATTATCCCTTTCCCATTACAGTTATAAGTGGTTTTGAGCACTGTTCACAGCCTACTGAAAAGTGGCTGAACTTTTAAAAGCTAGCACTCTGCTGAGGTAAAGGTTTTGTGCGTTCTCCTTTTTCTGAGCAAACAGAATTACTGAATTTGACTTGCATATCTCAAAGCATGAATTCCCTATGGACAGGCAAGAGCTATATGGACCTTTTTGCAACGCAGCACTCATAATAAATAAATGGGAAATTGCATTGTGGAATTCAGTCACTTAATATAATGACTGAAAGTTTTGTGTGTACTACCTGACTGAAATTTTCCCATTGAATTTCTGTTCAATGTGCCGAGTGTTACCATTTAAATCTTAATTGGTCTACTTTTAAAAATAAATATGGCAAGTTGGGTGTCTCTTTATTCATACCCTTTGTGTCCACCCACCAGACTCTTTCTTTTTTCTTTTTTTTTTTTTCCAGTTCCTTTGACTAAAATGTCATATAAACTATTCAATCCAAATGTGCATCCTGCTGTCATTGGGAATTGGTATACAATAGCTACAACTTAAAAAATCCCCAAACTTCTTTATAAGCGCACTGATTCTTACATAGAAGGTTGTCATGTTTCTCAGCTTGGTCATTTTTGAAGCAGAAGTTTTTTATTTAAAATTATTATTTTTATATTTCCTTACTTTAGCTTTTCATAATAATAAAAGGTGACCCCCAATGCTCACTGCTCAAAAGCTTCTCATAAATTTTACTTGGGAAATCAACTTCTTTGTGGGATGTTTTTTTTTCTGTATTCTTTGTATTCTGTCTGCTGTATTCTTATGCTATTCATGCTAGACATCTGGCTGTCTTCTCCACCCAGTTTCTGATGGGTGTATGCTGCCTGGGAGAATTTCTAGTTGTTTCTGGTGACTTTACATTAAACTAAGCTTAATAATATATAGAAATACAAATTAAAACTGACACTTTTCAACCACCCCATACAAACTCTAGTATATGTCAACTTTTAGTTGTCTGTGTTCAAATTATTTGGATCGTGTATTTCCCACACACAAATGCACAGGCTGCAGAGATCTGGAAGCGGTTATTTCTGTGCAGCACAGATACATGATCAGTGTGATCCGTGCAGGGTAGCTCACAGGGGTGTAGTACAGATACACCTCCCAGAGGTTTCACTTGCTGCCCCCATGTAACCCATGCGCAGCCCCAGCTCACTTGAAACATAAACGCTGCCTCTAACTGTCTGCTCAGCACTCTGGGTTCAGCGAGGTAGACTTGTGAGTGCCTAGATTTACTTTGAGGGAGCATTCAACATTGCCCAAGTGACTCTGTAAAGATAATCCTGGTTCCTGAAGAGCCACTGCTGAGGCTATACAGCAGTGCCTCCACAGTAGGACTGGTATACTCTGCGCTCTCCCCTTCAGCCTTCATCCTATCACCACTGGACGACCCCTGCCATCTAGCCAGACTATCCAGATGGACAGTGTGCAGCCTGGCCTTGTGCAGGCTGTTCTTTGTCAGGAGCTGGAAGTACCAATTGTAGCTTTGCCCAGACACAGCCCAACTATCTCCACATTGCACTCCCATTACGTTGCCAAGTAGCCTCATTATCCAGACTTATCCCAGTCTCTTCTTACCTGGATGGTATAATTGCCTGCAGTGTCTGGGCTTTCAATGATCAGATTTCCAGGCCAAAAAATATGGAGACCACCAGGGTGTCCTGACATCAGGCTGAAGTCTAGTAATAGCACACTTGTACTTGGAGCATTCCCTAACTGTAAGCCTTTCAAAAATAAGTATTGTTCTTGTGCACGCAGTTCAGGCTTACAGGTTGGCCAACATGCCAAGTTTGTTGTTGGTTTGGGATTTTTTTCAATTAAAGAAAAAGGGGGTCTTGAAAACCTCTAATTCCTTTCTGCATCTACCCAAACTCATAAGAAAGCCTTCCAGATACTGTCTGTATTTTTGAGTCACCTCTACCTTAATATTCTATTGGAATTGTCTTGGAATAAGACATACCAGTTGATCAGTTCATCTTCCCTGTTATGTGGTCATTGACATCTGGATACAGATCAGGGTGTCTGTAGGGACTTACGCACTATCCCACAACATCCAAGCTGAGGTAGAGCTTGGTGTTTTGGTGATTGCCCAACCTACGGTGCTGAAACAAGCTTTTCACCTGCCCAGAAAGAAATAGAAAGAAATAAGAGAATAAAGATTAGATTTGTGTATGAAATACAATATCAGTAACCCCTGCTGTCCTGCTCTGCTGCACATGTTTTAATATACATGCTGCTCTGCCAGCTTTGTATCATAGTCTATTTTGTGCCACATAGTATACTACACAACAATATGGCCTTACATATGTATATACATACATATATATACACAAACATATATATATATGAATGTTTTTTCTCCGGCTAAAATATTTTTTTACTTTTGTCATAGTTCAGTCTTCCATGAAGCTTTGCAAGAAATAAGTATAATGAATCTGCTCCAAACAATGCAGGACTGGCCACATACACAAATAAAAGTCTGATTGACAAAGAATGAGAGGAAAAGAGTTCCAGAAGATACCTAGAAAAATATCTTCTCACAGAACAGGATGTAGGAAATACTTTTTCAGAAGATACACTTAAAAATACTACAAAAAATATGGCAAATTTTCACTGATATGATTCTCAGAAAAAAAATGAATCTTTTCTGTGTTTCTTTTCCTCAGTTCAGGAACAAGCCAGTTTGTGAATTACTGATTTTTTAAGAAGTGATACTGTTCTATACTATACTAGTTACTTTACAAAGCTATCTTAAATCAGCACTGTGGGAAAAGGGAAATCCTGAATCCGCAAGAGAAACCATTGATGGTCACCTTCAAAGGCAGGCTGTGGAAGCAGAAACTAAAATATTTCCTGTTCTGTCTCAAGTGAATATGTTTCAGTGTTCAATTTCTAATCTTCCAGGATGCTTTGTGGTATGCAACTAACAGCTGTTGTGAGTAGCATTGTTTTTATGCTTACTGTTTTTGTTTCATGTCACACTTTTTTTTCTTTCCTCTTCTTTGCTGTTGGCTTCACTTCTGGCTCCATCAGAGAGAGCTGCAGGTCTTTGCTGCCGCTTAGTAGTCCCCTGTCATAAAGGAATGCCAAGGCTTACTGATCTGTCTGTCAAAACCAAAGATGTCTGGGAAATTCCACGAGAATCCCTACAGTTGATCAAGAGACTGGGAAATGGGCAGTTTGGGGAAGTATGGATGGGTATGGAGCAAAATAATTATTCTAAAATAGCTCTTTGTGTGGGGATTGCAAGATGGAAGGTGAAATGTAGGACATACAAAGCTCAAATTGTTAGGAGAGATGCCTTTGGAATAGTGTCTTTAGCTTTGAAATTCTTCAATCTTGAACTCTCACTTTAATTGATGGCGAAAGAAAACTGAAATTTTGTGTTTCTTTGGAAGGCTTCAATTTTGACAAATTACCAGCCTCTTACTAATAGATCATGGTCCACATAGCAATCTACTAATTATATCAATGAGCCTTTTTCTGCAAGCTAACAAGAAATTTTTTGCCTTCAGTATCCAAAAATCAGTGTTTGCAAATGAACTTTAATGCGGCACTGAAAGTCACCTTCCATCTTTCTCAATGCATGCATAATTTTGGATTATAAGTGTGTTTTTTTTATTAATTTCCTCTCCTATAGAGAAAGCTGATGGTTTGTGTTTTAACTTAACTGTGATTGCTACGAATAATACCCCACAAACTGTTGGATTGGCTAAAGATGCATGGGAAGTTGCACGTGATTCATTATTTCTGGAACAGAAGCTTGGTCAGGGCTGTTTCGCTGAAGTGTGGCGTGGTAAGGCAGAGAATATATTTTGCTTTGGATGGATCTTTTAAGGCCCTCTTGGCTGAAATAAACATTTCAAGTAGAAATCTTAAAGCTGAAAGATCAGAATAGCATGAAATATTGGTTTATGTCACTCAAACAGACCTAAATGCAGTAATCTTTGTGGAAATTCCTTTCATTTACACACACACTGATATGAGACTTTAGGGCTTTAAATTTTGTTACTTGCACTGATTTTATTTTACTGGCTCTACAGGTGTCAGGTTTTAAAACAGAAGTGATGGTAAACTTGTGAAGCAGAATGGCTAACCAGAAATTAATCTCACACGTTGATGTTTTTCTTTCCTCGTATGTTCTAGCATTGATGGGGTCAAACCCTGCAAATGCTTCCATCCCCTCTTCCAATTTTAAAGCAAAGTATCAGCGAGCTAATACTTTCAAGCTAGCTTTCCCATGCATCCACTTCATTAATTGTTTTGAAATTTGTGTCTGCATCACAGAAGCCTGTAACTCGATATAGAGACCAGGGACAATAGTGTCAAGACTTGCCCAGCCCAGCTGAACCCACACTTTGAAGTCCAGAAATACTGACATTTTCCAAATCCACTGACATTGTTTTCTTCCCATTTGCCAGCTTTACTTAATACTCCCCTCTCCGTGGGCCGCATTCTTTTAGTGACTACAAAACAATAGTAATTAAAAAAATATATAAATCTTATTATAGCCGTAGCATTGAAACACAATATAGTGGCCGTTTAATGAGAGGTGGGCTCCATTTTTGTGCCAAACTGCACTCTGTGTAGCATCTTAGAATATTTCATTCAAATGAAGAATCACCATATGTTGCTTCTTTACTTCACAGTCACACTAGTGGAGGAGTGTGGTCATTCTTTTTGTTGCAGTGACACAAAGAATGTAAAACCAAAATAACCAGTGGGCTCTCCTGGGCTCTTGCAGCTGTTTTCCGTTTCAAGACTACAGCAAGGAGCGTGGCAGCAAGTCTCTGAAATTTATAGAATGCAGTCGACCTATTGAAAAAACAAAACAAAAAGAAAGAAAGAAACACAGCCAACTACATTTTATATTAGCATCCCCAGATAACTGCAATTTCACTTTCTTGTTTTCCATCTTGAATACCTGTTAGACTTTCAAGTTGATGTCAATGCTTAGTGGTCACCTTTTATGTGCCATAGATCTTAAACTGTTAAAATAAGCTAAAGCAGCAAATGCAATTTAGAAAAAAATCAACGATGAGAAATAAAGTGCCAAGTACCAATACCAAATATCTGTCAGAAATGGGAAAAATGTTATGACAGTTGTGACATTATTTTTCTTAATGTATAGTAAAAATATGTTAACAGCCATGAAGTATTACTGAATTGGAACATATTAACACCGTAAAAATGGATTAAAAAATGCATTAAATAGTAGCTAACCACCTGCAGGAGGAGTTCAGAGGAAGGTCTCTGCTAATGAAAGTTAGCTAATTTTTTATGAAAATATCAAAGCAAAACAAGAAAATGTAACAATTCAAACTGAAATCTGGATGGGAGAATAAGTTAACCCCTTTTATTTAATTTTCTTTTTTTAACAACTGAATACGTTTGGAAAAATATTTAAAATACAACTACTGAAAGCATTTCGTGGTAATAGAATGAAGCTCAGGGGTTTTTTTTCAAGACAAAACAAACAAATACACAGTTAATCTCGTGAACACACCAGGTAAAATCCTAGTTATTAATGTCAGTAATGAAAACCCTTGTTTCTATGAGGCTCGGTTTCCACCACAGTTTGTATAACTGGTGGCACTTCTGCAAGTGACAGAGACTGCTCTGCAGGTCTGTGTCTCAGTGTCTCCCTACAGGACATGCTTCATCTCACTCACTGGAAAAGATTTTGGCAGCTCTGCTTGAAATCAGAAGGTAAAGCTGCATCCTTCCTAGCTTGCGCATTAGCGCTACTGAAGCAACCCCTTGCTTCAGCTGTGCTTTGAAGGACTGGGTGAAACCAGGAGCTCAGGAGCCTGCCTGAGGTGCTCAGGGCTTTGCTCTGGCATTAGTAGTGGTCACAGCGCTTGGCAGTGGGCTGGCAGAAGTAAAAAACCAAACTTGCACTGCACTCTTTTGGCTAATACACATCTCAAACCCTCCTCAAGCAACACAGTGTGTTGCTGCATGAGTGGTCAAGAAAATGAAAAGCAGCATTCAGAGCAGCTCCCCCACCTCTTCTCCCCTGCCTTGACTAGGTGAGACAGCAGCTGAGAGCTAACTGCACAGAAAGCAGCCTAGCTCATTTATGCCCTGGCAGGCTGCAAAAGCTCAATCGAGGTGTTTTGTATTAGTCTGCTCCTGTACAGAGGCTGAGCCAGTAACTGTTGGTGTGCTTTTAACAAACACACACTAACTGTATTTTAGCCCAAATATTCAAAGTACTGTGTACATCTTCTGCTATTTTCATGCTCATGTGCAGAGGAGTAGATTTTACCCAGTGCTATTAATATCTGAAGTCACATAGTGTTGTTCTCCTGCCTCGTGAAACAGCAGCTCCCCATCACCAGACCACATTCTATATGGAATCTTTGAGATCCAGACTGAAAGATGCACTGTCGTAGTGCTGTGTAGAGAACTGATGAGGAAAGTCTGGCCTGCTTGTAGCTGCATTAAAAAAGAAACATTTTTAATGATATTTTTAAATTAGCATTTACCATTTTTAAGTAGCATTTACCATTGCTTCTATTCCATTTGGCTCCTGTTACTATAGGACTGTGTTAGTGAATTTATCAGCAAAGAGAGCCAAGAATTTTTCTGAACAGGCATAGTTCTGTGCATGTCTTGTCAGCTCCAAAAGACTGCATGAAAACACATAGCTGACACACCTAGACTTCTGCCAGCTGACAGAGCAAGCTGCTGGGGATCCTGCACCTCTGGGGCTGGCGGCTGCAGCCCTCTCGGCAGGCTCCTGGTAGCTCAGATCCATCTCAGCCTTGCCTCTGAAGCAAGCTTCTGGGAAGCATGGCCCAGAAACTACCAGATCTACTTTGCTATCTGTCCTGCCCTCCAAGGAGATCCCGGCTCTATTCAGGGCCTTGTGCAGGCTTCTGGGGTCCAGAGCCAGGTGCTTGCCCTTCCATGCCCCCACACCATGGCATTGCACCCCAGCACTTCTGGCCTATACATCTTTTTGGCTTTCCCTGTCCCAGGGCTGGTGCGAGGCTCAAGGAGCACCCAGCCCCTGGGAGCAGCTCTGGCATGTCTGCAGCCCTGCTGCCTGCTGTGAGATGCTGCAGAGGATCTGGGAGGTGGGGTGAAGGGAGCAGGAGCTTCTGCGTTTTCAGTCAGCAGCTGCTGGGCTTCCAGGAGTTAGGTGGAGAAGAACAAAGACTCATTTTGGTTTGGAAACAGGCCCGTGTTTCTGAAATGAAATCGATTCAGAATTTGTTGCTTGGGAATTTTTCTTATATATATTTTTTCCTGTAATTCAGAAAAAAAAAAATATGTTAAAATGTCTTGCAAATGGAAAGTTCTGTCTTTGGCCAGTTCTGTTATCCAAATCTGTGAGTGGAACCGTGTTGTAGTCTGGAGTCATTGCTTGGTAGGAGGGAAATGCATGGAGATAGATTTCAGCAATCCCGAGTTTCTTACTCAGAGGAGGTTTCAGTGGACACCGCTGAAAGCATTGTCTGAGTAAGGCATGAGAGATCATGCCCCAGTGCCAATGGGAGTATTGTGTTGTTTTTTTTATAACCAAAAAAGACTTGAGGGAGGCATGGGAGGAAAACAAATGGAAAGGCAAAATATGAAACCACACTTGCAAAAGTAATATTGTGTCCTTGCCAGCTTACTCCTCTGTTACATTAGGTATCGGTCAGAAAAATGAATAGAAGCTGTTCAATCTTACTATGTGTCTGTGCCTTTAGGTACGTGGAATGGAAATACTAAAGTGGCTATCAAGACTCTGAAGCCTGGCACTATGTCTCCAGAATCATTCTTGGAGGAAGCCCAAATCATGAAGAAGCTAAAACATGACAAACTGGTCCAGCTTTATGCTGTGGTGTCTGAAGAACCCATCTATATTGTCACAGAGTACATGAGCAAAGGTGAAGCTAGAGCTGCTGCCATTGATTGCAATACATTTTTTTTATAAAGCTCAGAGGGAGGTGCAGTGTGATGCCTGAACAGTGTGTGAGGAAGGAAAGGGTGAACACGAAGCTAAATTCACTTCTGGCTTCAGGAGAGCTGTCATTCAACTGCATAGCAAGAAACACTTTAAGAAAATTGGTGCTAGATTCTTTTCACTTTCCTGTTCTCCTTCCACTTCTCCTTCCCCTTCCCTTCCACCTCCTCTCTTCTCTTTTTCTTTAAGCTACTTAACTGGTAACAATGTAGTAAAATGAGAAAAAGAAAACGTTTAGCTCCATCAGATCTCCAGCAGGGGTGCTGAGAGCAGAGCAAAAAATCTGCTTGTTTTGGAAAAGCAAAGAAACCAAATAGGAAACCTAAGTTCTCACAGGGAAGTTTCATTGTACATTGGAGAATACACTGAAATTTTCAGTACATTTTTTCAGTCTATTTGGAGTTGATTTTTATTTTCCTGGCAGGTGCCTGCCCACCTCCCTCCTCAGGGGCATCCAAGCACTGACTAACTCACATTTTAATCATATGTCTCAATGACAAGCATGTGCTTTTTCCTTTTAAAAAAACAACTTTGCAAAGTCTTCTGAAATACATGGTTTATTTTGGCTTAGTTTACTAGTTTTTACTGTGCCATTTTATGTTTGGTTCTGAGCTTGAAGCTCAGGATTTATCAGGGGAAAAGGCCTAATCATCTTTCCTTTCCCCTTATTTGTTAAACCAGTTCACTGAGCTTGTTTAAAGGAGACTGCCACACTTCTCTGTTTAAGTAAAAGATCGTGAAGCTGCAGATTTTTAAAAGCTACAGGGAGCCTCCTTGCTTTCCTTCTCACGTGGAAGTTATGTGCATATTGCTTTTGCTAAAATCACTTCCATTTGACCTCTTTGGTCTTCTCTAGTTTTGCATAGTGGTCTTCTAAAATTCATAGTTCGTGCCACAGCTAGTTGTTTGTTGCCTAGAGAAGGATGGCTACAAATAGTATGGTTAATAATTTTCTAAGGAAAATTAGTCTCTTAATGCTAGCACATTTAGACTTACCAGGCTTCAAGCTGACCTTTCTTTTGGAGAAGGTTGAGCCAGGATCTGACTTTTTCCATAGCTTGTGAGGCTTGGAACCAGGCTGACACTTTTTAGTGAGCTGAGGCCTTTAGAGAGCAGCAAGTATGCAGTTTCAAAGAGCACTGGAAATGTGAGGAAAAATCAGCTTTCTTAGTAACAATCAGGAAAATTAAAAACAACTTTCTTTTCCCTACAGTTTTCTTTAGATAGTGACATAGACTTCTGCAAGCCAATCTTACAGCCGGCTGAAACACGTACAGTAGGAGAATTTTAAAATACCAGTTTTTTTGTTTGCTTGTTTTGTGTTTTTTTTTTTTTTTTTTTTTTTTTTTTCTGAAACTGCCCACTTGAACTCAAAGCACCGTTGTATTTAATATTGCACATATCGTTGCACCTCCAACCTGATGAATAGCCATTGTTTCCCTAACATTTCTGTATTGTGTCATCTCTGCATTTACAGGGAGCTTGCTAGATTTCTTAAAAGATGGAGAAGGAAGAGCTCTGAAGCTACCAAACTTAGTGGACATGGCAGCTCAGGTCTGTGTTCAGAGTGTTGAGCACTTACGTGTGCATGTTTCAAAGCTCACAGATGTTTGAGTTCCTTTTAAAATGCACCTGATTGTGTTTTACACAGGTGGCTGCAGGAATGGCATATATTGAACGAATGAATTACATACACAGAGATCTGCGATCTGCAAACATTCTGGTGGGGAATGGACTAATATGCAAGATTGCTGACTTTGGATTAGCAAGGCTGATCGAAGACAATGAGTATACAGCAAGACAAGGTAGGTGCAACAACAGGAATAGCACTGAGCGTTGTTTTTCTGACAGGAGAACATCATTTTAAAAAACTCTCTCTCCTGTGCTTTGGAGTTGCTTTCATAAATCCTGAAGTCATATTATGTGCTAGTCCAGAAAACTCCACTGCTGAAGGCACATCCTGCGGAGGATATCTGAACAGTTGTCTTTGTTTTATTTTGGTCAGTTTCTAAGGGAAAAATCATGAATGGGAGCACAGGTGGGTGAAGTGACAGTAATGATGAGGTCCTAGTGGTGCCACAACAAGGCTGATATTTTACTTACCACGCTAGAAAGCCTGAATAGAATAACCCAACATTGCTGTGCTATTCTTATTTTCTTTATTTTGACTGGTCAAAGAAATCTGAGAATCATGTTTTCATGCAGTAGATCTGTCTCTCTGAGAACTTAAAAAGTTACTTTAACAGGAAAGCCATTTTCCAGCTCTACATAGAATGCTGGGCACCACTGATAACTGATAGGCTATAAAAACAAATCAAATAGTGTTGTAGCTTTTTAAAAAAGCATGTGTGCATGTGTTCAGGCTGAACCATGACACAGCCTCTTTGTAGTTAGTTGTTCTTTACAAGTCATGCTTGGTTGTCAGATGTTGATCCAAGTTTGCAGAACTACAGTTTTGTTCTCTTTCTGCTGGCAGAACACTGGTAATGCTTGCTTAATATGTGTCAGTAAATACCACTCTGTCCATTCTCAGTTCTGAAGCCAGAGACTGCCTCATTAGACTGTGTTTCATGTCATCAGAAAGCGAAGGTTAGCTAAATGCACCTTCATAACCTACATGTACTCCTTCCTATTGCAAGGTTTTTCTCTTAACTGAAGTCCCTTTTATTAGCAGATTAACTACTAGGAAAGAGCTAACCTCTTCCTGTAACTTTCAAGTGCTGACAGAATGAGACAGTTTCCAGAGAGCAGGCGTGCTCCCATTGATCACAACCCTCTTAATTGCTCTCAGCAGCACCTAGCCACAGGGATGGGGGAGTGCAAGCTGCATCCACGCTAACAGTTGCTGGCTTCATTCAGGAGGCAAGCCCTGATTATTTTGTGGAGGTCCTTAAGGAACATGTTGTAGGTACTAATGCAGAGTTAACTGCTACTGAGTGGAACCTGAGGGTGGGAATTGCTCCTTGCTTGCAAAAATAGCTTCATGTCGCTCCCGCTAGAGTAATAACACTGCAAGCTCTGCTGGACAGAAAACTGCCTCCTGGCCCCTCCCCTCTGCAAAACAAGAAGGGTTTATCTTGAAAAAGGCAGCCAGATCCAGTCTGTAAAATGGCTTTGAAACTGTTTTCTATAGTATCTCCATTTTTGTCTGTTTTACTGCCATGCCTTTTGTTCCCTTTGGAAACGGCCCAATGTATAGTTTGACATGACTAATTATTTGTTTGAATAGACAAGTATGTAACCTACTTCTGGCCAAATCTCTTCAAGCCCATGATCCCTAGGAAATCCTCTGATGACCTGTTTGCTTCCTGGTTTAAATCTCTCAAATAGTTTTGCTCTCTTTACGTGTTAGAAATCCTTGAAAACCTGCATGAGCGACGGTGAGGAAAAGCTCAGATTGTTTAAGACAGTAAGTTATTGGATTTTTGATGGGAAATCTTCAAGCTGCAGAAAGTAAAATGGCAGGTCTAGCAGGGAGAGGGACCATAGTGGTAGACATGCCCTACCCTTCTTTCACTGTGAAATCTCTTATGTCATGGAAAATGTAGCTAGGAAAGGCCTGGCATTCAACCTGTGTCACTGACACTGAGGAGACCTGACTCCAGTGTGCATGGTACTACCTTGTGGTGCACGTGGGGAGAAGTCACTCAAATTTGTTCATACTTCAAGGCAATGGACTGTACTTCTCCCTGTACTGAGGTCAGGCTGAACTCCTTCGGAGCCACCGAGGACTTTGGAATGGGGACCCAAAGAGTTGCAATCACAGACATCTTGTAGAAATGTTTCCCCCCTTTCAGTAACGATTTTTTCACCCTTTCTTAATTGGTAACTTGTTTTTGAGAGGAGTGCACTTCTGGCCATGCAGCCTATTCTCAATTTACTTTTCATTGCAGTTCATCTGGCTTCCAAGGCAGGCGGGCAGCCAGGGTTGAGCCTAGGACCTTTAATTTATCGAGGAAGAAGCACAGCTTCTAAAATGCCACTGGAATTTTTCTCTTAAGTGAAATTCAATCCTGTTTGTTCAGTTCGGCTTCGGTTTTGAGCACTGCTTGGTGGCGACCACAGTATCAGAAGGAAACGGTTGTCTTTGCTTGTTTCCCATGACCTATTACTTCAGCCTCTGAGGGGATGCATCTGGGGACCATTCTGTTTATCTGGCTGACCGCTGCTTCACTGGGAATTCTGACATGGGAGGAGAACCTGGCTGGCGGAGGGAAGGGGGTGGGGAGTGCTGTAGACTGGCAGCTCCTGTGGGAGAGAGGAAATGTCTTGCCTTATGAAATCTGAAGATTAAAGCCTTTGGTCACTCTCTCTGCAGCAGTCTTCCTCCTCATGGCTTGTAAGTGAGTTAGCAGGGAGCTTGTTGTCAGTCTGGGGAAGGACTGGCTTTCTCCGGCCTCACTTGATCTCCGGCTCCCTTCCCCCACTGTCACTTCTGCCTCCGATTAAATATTTTGAAAGGAAACAGATGGGGATGCTTTGAGCTCCAGAGGGTTAGAGTGCAGGATTCCTGAACCTGTGTGGTTATTACTCAGCCTGGTGGTAATGTTTTACCGACCGGTTTATTTTCTTTTTGGTTTGAACAAAAGAGGTCTGACTGCTCCTGATTTAAGAGAGGTAAATAAAAAGCAGTTTGTTGTCTGCACTGCCATTCTCAGCAACTGGCAGGAAGGAAAGAGACAGTCACACCGCTAATGATTTAAAGTGTGTGACCAGCAGCTATATGCTGCCATTAAATAATGCACACCAAAAAAAGTTCTTGGCTTGTAATGAACATTTGGCTCCTCTTACTCTTAGAGGAAGTGAGTAATCAAAGGGAAAAAAACATGCTATTAAAGTGACGCCCATTTTAAAAGCTATGGCAGTGAACTTACTGCAGTCCACCCCATCAGGGTTTGGTCCTTCTGGCTGTTGCTGTTGCAACATCTTTTTCCCCCACACTGCGTTGGGCATATTCTGTGTTGTGTGCTTCCAAAGAGATTATGCCTGTGTTAGCCTTGCAGAGCAACCCCTGGCATTCTTGGTGCTCTGTGGGATGGAGAGAAGCTTCTCCTCACCCGCACGCACAGGATTCGCCATGCAGCTCTGCTACCCTGCTCTGATCTGGTTTGCAGCTCTGCAGGGTCTGGGCCAAGCACATGGCTTTGTTGTGCTGAGTGCTCCATGGAGCTGCTGGGGAAGAGCTGTTACTATTCAAAGCTGTAGCAACTGATACAAATTTAAATTGCCTTAATACAAAAAGAGCATTTATTTTCCAGGCAATGTTTCTACTGCATTCACTGGCAGGGCTTGCAGTAATGCTGCTCCAAGCACACATGAAATATTAAGAATCTTTCTGATGCCTTCCAGACAAGTCAGGTCTATTCTGGGAGCTCTTGTACTTGTTTGTAAACTTTTGGATCACTTTTGCCTCCTCAGTGCTTAGAAATATCTCCTTCCTGCCTTGCTCAGAAACCAGTGATGCTTCTTATTTTTGTTTCCTAGAAAATAGCAGGCACTGTTTCCCTTTGCCACTCTCTCCCTGGGCTTACCACTTGTCAATTGATCGGGCGCTGGTGTTGGCAATTGGTTGCACCACCAGCTGCAGCTCCGGGAGCTTTGCCCTCACTCAGTGCCGAAGAGCAGGCAGGAGGGGACAGCTCCTGATTCTCAGCAGCAGTCCCAGATCCTGGAGGGATAGCAGAGGTGCCTTCTGCCCCCCAGCAAGGAGCTTTGCAGGGTCGGGGGAGGGCTAGGGCTGTGTTTGGGCCCACCCGCAGTTGTAGCTCTCGTTCCCCAATTCCTGGGGAGGGTCAGCCTGGGGAACCTGCCTCTGGCTCCTGATGTTTTGCCATGCTTGTGATTTCACGTTAGTTCTCACAGCACAAAAAATGCAATTGCGCGGTTCCTCCCACACAGCACACCCCATCGCCTACCAAGGCTGACTCGTTTCCTGTTACATGCTTACTTCAGCATTTCAGTTTTACCCTTTGTAGCCTTCTCTTTTCAGCTTTGGCAGCAATGTGGTGCTGAGTTGTGCTCCCCAGCTGCTCAGTCAGGGGTTCCCATACTCATAGATTCTGGCACTGGGTGTGCTGGGCTTGATTTGCAGCTTCATATCATTTCTAGGAAATGCAGCAGTGACTCTGGGGCATTAATTGCAGAGCTTTCTGGTTTGTCGAGATTGAGATCTGAACACCTGAGCCCCGAGGGATTTTCTCAGGCATCAGAAGAAACCATGCTAGGAGCTACATTCGGTGTTGCTCAGTTATCTCGGCCCCCTCTGCTCCTCATCACAAAGCTTTACTTGGGGCTGAGGAGAACCTGAAGCAGCAGCAGAGGCTGCTTCCTTTAGCTCACAAGCCCCCAGGTACAAGTACTGGGCAGAGCAGCACTTGGGCTCACAGAATTGCCCTAGGGCAGGGCCAGCACCTGACCTTGCATTGTGCCTGAAGCCTTGGTGTGCTGCAGGTCCATGCAGAACAGAAACCCAAAAAAGACTTTTCCCTTGCTGAAATGTTTCAAAAAGGCATGGAGATAAAAGCCACAGAAGAAGATCTTGCTCTGGGGCAAAGACAGGCTATCCTGACCTAGGAATGTGGTGTGAGAGCAATTTGTACAGACAGAGCTACTGACCTGCTAGTAATACAATGTGTTCCAGCAAAAAATAAAGAGAGAGATCCCTCCCAGCCATGTACAATCTGCCTTGAAAGTGGCAGATAGGCTGCACTGTCAGCTGGGGTAATTTGGCTTATCAGATTTATTAACATGCTTGTCACTAATATGCATTTTATCTGGTGATCTGATGCTGTAATTTGCATGCAGCCTGGAGTCAGCATATTTAATAAGCTGGGCTGGGGCTGCTTTTCCTAACCAGCATGCTGGGGACAGGGCAAGTGCAGGGGCTGTGTGCCTGCCAGGAGCCATGCTGAGCAAGGGGAGCAGCAATTTGGCTTCAAAGTGGTGCTCAACACATTTTGTGGTTTTTGTGTTTTCAAAGAAGTGCCCTGTGTTTCCAAGGCAAGGGGTCCATTTACTCAAAGTGTTGGTGTGATGGGCTCCTGCTCGCTGCATCAGGCAATGCTGCCAGCTGTTTGAGCTCCTGTGCAAGCACGTGTATATTGTGGTGGTGCTCAGAGGGTTCCTTACCCTTTGCCATTGCCTCTCCTTGTTCTAAGCAAGCTGTGTGTGATCTTTTAGGTTTATGGCGGTGTGTGCATTAAAACTACAGCTGTGAGAACTGGCACATCCTACCTGGTTTCCACTTTCCCTTAATTAGGGCTCTATTATACAAGTTTGCTATGGGATGCTCTTGGACTATCTGGTCTCCAGCATGCCTTGCAGGGCTAGAAAACCAGGAGTCAGTTGGCCTCTCTGCCAACCTCTCCTTCCTCTCTTCCCCATCTATATCTTCAAACCGAGGTTCAGGAAACACTGCAAAGAATACAGACTGTGATTTATGTATAAATTGGTCTAGATAGGACCCCTGGTGTAGAGGCAACATAGCAATGTAACAAGTAGTCACCCTGCCACCAGAAAAATCAAAAGCATAAATTGTGTGTCTTCTCCAGCAGTGGGGCTTACATTGCTCTAGCTCTCAGTAAAAATGATATGCTGGAATTGTGCCTTCCCTTCTCACCTATTTTCCTATCTTTCCATGACCCCTCAATATACCATAGAGTCACCTCCTCATGCCACAACAGCAGCAGGGTGAAAACACTGGAGCAGTTGGCCTCAAAGGAGACTAAAGAGATTTCTTTACTCCAAAGATGAGTTTTTTAATGCTGTCTTTCTATCTGAGTGCCAAGAACAGGGTCACGGAATAGCTGAAGTTGGACCTCTGAATGAAGGTCATCTGGTTCAGCTGGGAAGCAAAAGGTCTCAGCCTTTCAGGGAAACACAGCTGATCAAAAACAAAAAACAAAAAGGAGAAAAAGAAGAAAGAAGGAAAGAAACTGTTGAATAAATTATGTGCAACAAGTGAACAAGCAAGCCTTCAGGCTTGGTCATCTCACATGTGATCAGACCCTGTCCAGGCTTTCAGGCTTCATTCAGTTAGAATAGTATTTGTGTGCTATCCCAGCTGCAACGTGTGTGAGGACAGAGGGACATTAGTCCTCATGTTCATGACATGCCTGCAGATTTAAGGAACTTGACCCGCAGTTACATGCAGCCTGCAAGTTTTCTGGGGATTGGAAAGTGTTGTGTAGCCCCAGGATATGCCAGTCCCAGCTCATCCAGTACCATAGGGCTACCAGTGCTGTCAGGCCACGGTCAAGGACAGAGCTCCAGAGATGGCAAGCTGCTGCAGAGACCTCAGACATCACAGCCCAGATGGACTTTAAGAGAAGAGGTTCTGTAAATTTTGAGTCTTGTATACCAAGATTATTCCCATGAAGTTTTAGCTGGGGAAACTGAGGACAAAGCTGAGCACAAGAATAGTAGCTCCAGCAGATCAGCTAACATAAAGGCTACATATGAGGCAGGCTGTTTGAAAGTGAAGAGACACCCACAAATCCTTCAGCACCTTGGCAAATTCAACCACCGATGTGCTGATGCTTAACTAGCCTTATGTCCCTAACTTCAGGCATTAGGGATTTGAAGCTTTCTTTATCTTACATCTTTTTATATAGGAGGACTTACTTGAGCATCAGCAGTTTTCACTAGAAAAAAGGTATTTGTTCCTGCGTAATATTGTCTCTTAGGATCAATTATATGTAGTGTAGGAAAAAATGTTATCACATTTAATGTTTTACTAAGTAAGGGAATGAGAATTGCCACGTCTGCTTTGTACTCTTGGTCCAACCCAGATTGCAGCATAGAGTAGAAGTACAGAGCATCAAGCACTGGATGTGGTAGAGGAATGGTGTCAGCAGGGAACTGTAAACAGTGCCATAACTTAATTCCCTGAGAGCCATTTGTCCATGTTACAATTTCCACACTCATCCTGAAAGCTAAAGGAGCTTTTATGAGGGGGTGGTGAGAAGTCAAAGTCAGTATGCTTCAAAATTTGAGTGTCGCTAGGGATCCACAGTAAGCAGTGCAACTCTTCTGCCTTTATGTTAATACAAGGCACCAGGGAAATGATTGCGTATTTTTTCTTACATGCTACAACTTAATTATTACCACAAGACTTTTCTTTAAAGTCACACTGAAAATATTTTCCCTAAGAAAACAGTAAATGATCGGAAAAGCAAATAAATCAGAGTTTAAAGGCTTGTTATCTTACCATCCTTACCACAATTGGATCCTGCAAGCCCTGATGATGGATGAGCACATTAGGCTGCACGTATTTAAGGCACTACAGTCTTCAGTGCCAGGAGTTGAAAGTACACTGTCAAGTTATAAATCACAGGCCACAGTTGTGCCTTGACATCATTGCACTCCAAGCATCTCGAGTAGCAATCTTATATTTTAATCCTTGCATGTTTCTAATGAAATATTATGTTTGTCTTTAATTTATGTTTTTACTGTGTTTGTTTGTTTTGCGTTTTGCTGAGCTTGAGCAGGGAAACCGGGACGTACATTTCTAATAAATCTCACTTCTATTCAACATGCTGTGACATGCAAATATCACAGGGAAATGCTGATTTGAAACATTTTGGGAGAACGAATTTCTATTTTATTGAGCTTATTGGATTTTATGCCATTTTTCTTATATAAAACTTCAAATGTGAATTAAAATCTTAGCCCTCTCTTGGGACAAACCCACCCTTGCCTGCTAAGACTTTCTTTTTGCCCTACACATTCCACCCAACTGTCCTCTGGGAGCATACTCCATGGAGCTGTTTGTTAATACTTGCTTCTTCACCCTGCAAGTGTTGCAGAACAAAGCAGTCGCCTGCATACTGGTGCTTTGTTTCCATCACTATTCTATTTAAGACTCATTTCTTCTTTCACTAGGTGCAAAGTTTCCCATTAAATGGACTGCACCAGAAGCAGCATTGTATGGAAGGTTCACAATCAAGTCGGACGTGTGGTCTTTTGGGATCCTACTGACAGAGCTGGTAACAAAAGGGAGAGTGCCATACCCAGGTAAGAAAACCATCCGAGCCCTGCATCACAGGGGGAGAAGAGTGGGAATGAGTCATATGGTTAAAGTGGAATGTGTGCTTACTGTCATTGGGCTCAAAGGAGGATGGTTATCATGCAGAAGTTCTGTGTATGCTTGGAAGGAAGTGGTCGTGACTGAAAGCCAGTGAGTATTGGTCATGAACAAGAGGACAGGAAATCCAGCATACTTGTTTCTATGTTTTTAATTGTTTTCAATTAATTTACTTTCTATCAAAATAATGAAAGCAAGGTAAAACAACTGCATACCAGAAAATAATTCTCCACATTTGCGTTCCCTTTAAAATACCAACTAACTCCCAGAATAGCATTACTGTATTTCTTCTGTCAGTCTGGTTCTGTACAAGGTCTGGTGACTGTCTGAATATCTGGCATTACCAAATCTCCTTTTTACGTACTCTTAAATTTCAATCCTTTTGTTAGACATGGGTGGAAAGGAAAGAAAAAGTAGTGTGCAGGCCAGAGCTCACGGCAGGGTCAGAGAGGGGCCAGGTTCTCTGCATGGGGGAACCAGAGGCCCCATGACTCTTTGTTGAAAGACTGCCAAGTATCCCATGGATTAAGATTTGTAGCCAGAGTGATTGGATCTGCCTGTGAAGAAAGAGCTTTGCCTTCTGCTGCCTCCTCTGAAAACTGTGGACATTCAGGTAAAGAGGAAGGAGGTAAGGAGAAAGCAGGTGTTACATGGAAAAGAATTTAATCCCTTCATTTGCTTGATACTAATAACAGCATCTAGCTGCATTTTTACTTCTTAGAAACCTTGGCTGTGTGCATTGCAGCTGATTTAGTGGAAAATGTCCTAGAGTATTTTCAGTTTGCCAGTCTTGCCGCTATCAAGCAGTCAGGCCTATACATCAAATATAGCAGGAAAAGCATCAAGGTGGAGTTCAATTTATCCTTTTGTATTTCGTGCCACTTTAGAAAGCTGAGCTCAGCAAATTTGAACTCCCAGAGTTTTTAGAGAAATTTCATCTTTACTAGCTCCTAGGAGCCAGCAGCTGATAATTGAGAAGGAAATATGGGAACTGGAAGGCTTTTGATGATCAGCAGTGAATTTTACAATGACTGGCAGAGAGCAGCTTAGCAAAGCTGTGACTGTGCCAAGAGAATGAAGGAACAGAAAGAGAGGTTATGTGTTTCTGTGGGGTAGATGAATCCCTTTGCCCCACAGTTCCCTGAATGGTTGAAAAACAGTGTTGCCTCTGCACAGTGTCAGTGTCTGGGACAAAGGTCTTCTTGCTGTGTGGATTATCAGCAGTGGCTCAGGGAACAGTGATTTTCAGGGGGTTACTGAGGGTTAAATGAGCAGTTGTGGACTGAATGCAAAGGTCGAAGATAGAAAGAAGATGTGTAAGGCTTTGCTGCTAAGGCGTTGCTTCTCTAGGGTAAGCAGAGATCCTGGGTGGATGCAGGAAGAGGATGCTTCTGGTCAGTATGGTCAGAATGGATGTCAAAGGGCTCTCGCCAGCTAGGGCAGAGTTAAGGCTAGTTTGGGGGTTTTTTTTGCGGAGTTCTACATTTATGGGGCAGCAGTGCATAGTGACTTGTCTATTATCACATGCATGAGTGTAGATACAAACACACACAGGAAATAATACTATTGTAGGCAAAAGTGACTTTCTGAGCCCTGTGTTAGCTCACAGGTCCATAATTGAACACTGTGTTAGCCAGGTCAGTAGAGGATAGATACATTTCCCAAGTGCTCATTTTTCTCCCTGTGGGAGAAGGAGGCCACTGGATGTGCACTTAAGTGCTTGTAATATATGACTTCTTGTTGGATCCATGACAGAACTCTCAGGCCTGGTCTGTGTCCTGAAAATGCGGACAGTTTTATTACATGGCAGCCTGAACACTTCAAAGACAACTAGCAGTGTTTCTCCTCTTCTAGCACTGTCCTGCCCCTTCATCCCACACTGCATAAAGCCCTCACACACTGAAAATCCTTCCGATTCATTCTCCCCCAGACACGCTAGAATGGCATCAAGTAGCTAAATCAACTTTTTGTGACTTACGTGGCACAGAGTTGATAATTCATAGAATCACAGAATCATAGAATCCTTGGAGTTGGAAGGGATCTCTGAAAGCCATCTAGTCCAACTGCAGTGAACAGGGACACCGCAGCTAGATCAGGTTGTCAAGGGACTGATCCAGCCTCACCTTAGAAGTCTCCAGGGATGGAGCATCAACTACATCTCTAGGCAACCTGTTCCAGTGCCTCACCACCCTCACTGTAAAAGACTTTTTTTTCACCAGCTGGTCATATGGTCATGTACTTCCTAGGTTATACCTTGCCTGAGCTCTACACTAGGCTTCTTCCCCCTTACCATGGCTTCTGCCTCTGCTCAGCCAGGCCGTAAGCATTCTGGTGATCACCATCACTCCCTCCCTGTCAGCTTCCCCTAAGGTTTTTTCTGCCTTCACATCAAGGCTTGCATAAGAAGGAAGAGATGGGTGTTCAACCACCCTAAGAGGCAGGACTGAGCCCTATTGTGACCACCAATAGGATCTGAGGGAATGGCTGTGTCAGGAGAAGAGATGAGGAAAAGATTCTTCACCAGAGGGTGATCACGGCCCCAAGCTGCCGGAATTCAAGCAGCATTTGGACAGCACTCTCAGACACAGCGCTTGAATTTTGGGTGGTCCTGTGTGGAGCCAGGTGCTGGACTTGAAGGATCTTGTGAGCCCTTTCCAACTCAGGATATTTTGTAATTCTGTGCTTCTGTCGTGCACCCCAATTCTGAGATGGTAACTGTGCCTCCAGGGCACAGTACCTCATACCTTGAAGAATCGGGCATTGTTTTAAGCTTATATAGGAGGGAGAAGGACATCAAGGAGGACACAGGGAGAAGGCAGGCAGTTTCTAGGAGGGGAACAGGACTAGTGAGTGGAGCGGGACTTGGCATTCATTCTCTTCCAGGTTTCAGCCAGATGAATGACCTCTTTTTGGAAGAGAGGCCAGAGCAGAGGTAGGACACATGAACAATAAAGATTTTACTGGCAGAGGTAAACATCAGGCTGGAGTTCATGATCCAGCATTGCTCACTGACCTTATAGCTCCCACAGGAAAGACTGACCAGGCCTGTTTCTCTATCAGTGGACATAATGATAATGGACTGCTGTAATAACACTGCTTTCTCATTCTTCTCACAAGACAGCACAGTTGTTCTGGGTGTTGAGGTTCTATTTTCACTACCATGGTAGGGAAGTAAAAGCTGGATATGTGCAAAAGAGGAGCCAAGTTTAAAAAGTGATCTGCTTAGTAAACCATTTTCATTTTGTTTCTTTCTCTTTCCACAAATTTCTCTCGGATCTTAGTATCCTTTTAATGGAGTTTAAGACTAGGAGGCTGCATTTCTGAAGCAGTAGTCAGAATTTGATTTTATTTTTATTTAATGTTATCTTTTGCATAGGCAACATTTTCAGCTGCACTAAACAAGCATCTTTGAACTCACCCCTTGTTTTTTGCTGCGCTTGTCACAGCAAAAGCATTTATGTTTTATGTCCAGTGTGACAGCAACCATGATAGTATACGTATTGCTGTCTCCAGCCAGTTGGTCTTTGAGTTTGGACTCCAAGCAGCGCTGCAGGTCATGGGGAGCTGCATTCAGCGTCCTCATCACTGCAGGAGTTTGGAGCCAGAAGGGTTGGGCCAAGCACACATCACTGACCCAGTGTGATGGGTGCCATCGTCATGAGTGGTAGATAAGAACTCGAGGGAGGTGTGTACTCAGCACATCACACAGATAAGCTTTGGTGGGTTTCTGTGTAAGCAGGAAAGCTCAGCTCACAAATGCTGCAGCTCAAAGTTGCAATTCTTATTGCAAGCAAATAATACTTTATTTAAAACAATGATTAAAAAAAGATTTTGATAGCCTTGATTTGTGGGTGTTTTGAACGTGAGAAGTATTTGGGGAATTTCAGGCCTTAATTTTTAGATGCTGTCCAGGGAAGTGGTGGAGTCACCATCCCTGGAGGTTTTCAAAAAAAAGATGGACGTGGCACTTAGGGACATGGGTTAGTGGGTGTGATGGTGTTGGGTCTGTGGTTGGACGAGTGGTTCTTAGTGGTCTTTTCCAATCTAAATGATTCTATGATTCTATGAATTACAGATGTTTAAAAATTGTAACTATTTTTGCACTGTCATAACTAAGTTCGTATTCATCTGTAAAAAGACAAGCAGCATTATGCTTCAAAGGTTGTTTTCCTCAGGGAGCAGCTTTCCCATTTCCTTCAGTACCCTATCATTTGTGGGTATGGAATGGTACCCCTTTGTGAGCCCCACACACCATCCCTCTCCTTTCACCTAGCTCTTCTATGGGGCTGCTAACAGAATTCAGGAATTCTGATTCTAACTCAAATTAAACAAAACCTGCAGATTAAACTGTCTCTGTATTACCTTGCTCTGAGAGCACCAATGTGATCCAGCCTCTATGGAGGATGGCACAGTTTTCCCTTCTCAACTGTACTAGAGATGTGCAAACCCTTCTGAGACTGAGGAACCTCTGAACACGAGTAGAGGCACAACTTTGGATTAGGAGAATCTGAAACACCACATATCAGAGAATGGACAGCAGCTAAGCTGTTGTTTTAAAAATCCGATGTTCAGCATTTGTATCTGTATGAGCTTGCTTATTGGACTGAAATCATACAGTGGGTGTTGAAAAAGGGTAATTCTCAACCCAAAAGAAAAAAACAAGAATAAGGTGGCTTAAAATCATCTCTGGCCTCAGTGGACTTAATGTTGACCAAAGTAATCTATATAACAAACTTTGGATGTGGGGATGCTCCCAAGTTCCAGTAATCTTGTTTCCTGTCCTCTGCAACAGCAGCATTGCCTAAGTTTGTGTTATTTGCTTTGTTCCATCCAACCAAGTTCTAAGTTTTTTTAGCCACAACTGGAAACTTTACATTCCCTTTTATATCACTGTAACTCTTACTATTGTAGCTTTTCTAGGAGGATTCATGCTGCATTGCATTTCTACCCCCAGTCTGTACAGGCTGTAGATTTTTATTGTATTGAGCTTTAAAGTGGCCATATCCCGCAGCGTCTTACAACTATTGGAAGGTTCAATAATAAAGCTGGATGGTGGGAGGTTATTTCATTTTTCATTTTCCCAAGGACTAAGAAACTTATGGAAAACCCATCTTTTGGAAATGGGATGCTTCCTTTTTGGCCCAGATACTAGTTCTAGGAACATTATGAGCACAGACTGATTTTAAAGGAGATGAAATAGCTGGAGTCAGTAGAAGAACATTGCTGAGTAGTTTATTCCACAGACATAAGGTGTTTTTTAAATAAACTTTTAAGGCATCTAGAAGCCCATTGCAATCAGAATTTCATCTATTATTAACGAGAAGAGTTGAAACTCTCGGGTATTCATTAGGAGAGAAGAGTTGTACAGGCTGCTCAAATATTCTCTCTGTGGTGTAAGAAGTGCAGATACAACAGGCTCCTGCTATCAAAACAGAAACACTGCAACTTTCAGGATAAGATAAACGAATCCAGATAATAGCTTGGTAAATATAAATAGGCCTTTTAAGAAGTAAAAAGCATACCTAAAACACTGTTCTTTGTCTAAATGTGACTAATAATGTAAGCAAGATTTTGAAGAGAAAAAAAAAAAGCAGCATTTGAAACTCCTTGTTTAAATTAGTAGCACATGTGAAAGCCAACGGATTTTTTTTTGGCAGAAGGATTCTGCAGCCCTTGCTGGACACGTGAATTCCAACAGGGAACACGAAGATTGCTTGATTTAGTTTCATATCTGGGTTTTACGGGGAGGGAGGGGAAAGAAGAAAGGAAGAGAAGGGCGTTTTCCTGGATAATACCATGATGAGCAAAACCTGGCTTTGTTGTCTTTCCAAGGACACCAATGACTGTGGCTCCAGGCAACAATGTCTCTTTTCTTCCCATCTTTTTTAAAAGAAAAGGGAAGTGAAGAGCTGTTTGTGTTTTCACTCCCCTCCACCCCTTCCTCAGGGTTTTTCTTCCAGCGTATATTTTGTTATCGAGTTTCAGAGTGTGCTTGCAGCACTGAGTAATACACTGGATAAAGTACCAAACATTTGATATCTTAGAATAACAAATCAGTTGGGAAGGAGCTTTCCTGCTGATGTTGCTTCCATCCATGCTGTACTTACAGGAGAACTGCCAAAATTAAAACAAAGAATTCAGTTTCTTTGGGGTTTAGGTATATGCAGTAGATAAGTTACTTGGTAACACTAATTTTCATAGTCTTTTATGTTTAAGGGAAGCAGTGCTTGGGCTAAGCTCTTAGCTCAAATTATGAAGCAATTAATACATAAAAACAGTGCTGGTTTTGGTTCAAAACACAAATTTTAAAAAGCTATCTGTGAGAACATAATGTGAGCAAAATGCCCATTTTTCTTACAGCATCTCTCAAACAGCAAGGCCAGAAGGTTTGGGCTGATGCTTCTTTTGGGTTGGTGGTGACTCACAGAGCACTAGTGTTCTTTTGCAATTTAATGAAAAAGTAGAATATGTTTGAAAATGTTCGTTAGATCATAGAATCACAGAATGGCTTGAGTTGGGAGGCACCTCAAAGATCATCCAGTTCCATCCTCCTTCTGTGAGCAGAGTTGCCAATAATGAGGAGCATCCAAAAGTTTGTTCTGTTTGTGGCAGGCTTTTCTGGTTTGTTGTGAGCAGCAGTTTGGACTTGACAATACAGGAGAACACCATCTTATGTCTGCAGAGGATTCTAAGGTACAGACCATGTTACACGTAGCACCATGAATATAGTAAGTGAATGCAGGGGATAAATCTAACAGAAGAAACCAGTGCTAACATGCAGCAGGGTAGGGAATACTATAAACCAGTAATCTCACTCTTCCTTTTGCAGTCATCATTGCTGAAGGAGACAGTAAAGCAAGGTTTGTAGGAGGATGAGGCAGATTTCTGTGAGGTTCCTCCATGTGTAGTAGCAGTGTGAAACAGCCCATCGGTGCTTGCTTGGAAAGCTTCGGTGATGCAGTGTTCTAATCAGAACGGGAAAGCAACAAGGACTTGACCAAATGAGACACTCGTGGGGCTGCCTGTGAGAGGCTATGAAAGTGAAAATAAGCCACTATATTTGACATAGTGGGCAAGAAGAAGCAAAAGGCAAGAGCATGGAAGGGACGGTTACAGCCAGAGGCTGGGAAAATGATCATTACAGAGACATTGCAAATGGATTATCAACAGGAGGAAATTGCCCTGTCAAGATAAGAGGAAATGGTATTTTGTAATCGTAACATGAGATGAGAATCTAGATGTGGGTGGCCAGGAAATGCTCTATCTTACAGATGCTCATTTCAAAGCACCTCTTAGAATTAAACACAGCTAGAATATGAGGACACAGAGTAATGCCCAAATTCAAGGATACTGCTGAGTTACCAGCCTAAATGCCACTCAGAGTAAGGATACTTCTCTCACCAGCCAACGTGTAGGGTAGGCAAATGAATCTGTGCTGAAGAAGGTTGTAAAATTATTTCTGGCAAATACGTGGAGTGAAAGGAAGAGATCCTCTGAGTCCTGAACGTGAGGCCAGAAGGATCTTCAGGAGAGCACTCTGAAAGAACAAGGCGTGATGATGGAGCCTTGGATACAGGGGGAGAATCAGCTAGCAAAAAGAGTAATGTGAATGAATGTATTTCTAAATTTGTTGTGTAGGAACTTCAGTGTCCCTCCTGGTTTTCCTGCAGGGCTGCTTGGCAGGATCCACTTAGGCAGGGCAATGAAGTCAGCTGTTGCTTTTCAGCAGAGGGCTGGGGCAGGAGTTGCCAAGACACAAGCATAAGGCATGCAGTCAAAATGCTTTCCCTGGAATATGTCTGCATGCCTGGGGTGTCAGTCTTACCTTTGATATTGTAAAAAAGCCAACGGTGTAACTGGAAGAGATGTTTAAAACCAAAGCTAAGGTTCACTACAGTTAAGATATGGCGCAGAACACTTGTATGGTGAATTGTAACATGTGTAAATGTAAAAACAGCAGAGAAATCAAGAGCTGAAGGGGTTACATAGAAAATATAAGGTAGTAAAGAGCCTGGATTACCTCTTAAACAGCAAACACGATGATAGAATAATTTCTTTGCTTATTGGAGAGAAATCTACAGTTCTTCCACAAGACTGTTTTGTTGGACCACTGAGTTGTCTTCTGAGCGCTCTGTACTCTTCTGGGTTGGGATGGAACAACACAATGTGGTAGAAGCAATATTGTCCAGCACAGACCATTAGCAGAGTGAGCTTTTGACCTGATGTGAAAGTAATGCTGCTGGACGTGCCCAGCAGCCTCAAGACTTTGTCATCTTGCAGCCTCTGCAGCACAACCTCACAAAGTCTTTAAAGAAAGGCTCATGCTTCAGAGTGTTCTAAAAATTAATCTTAGTTTTTAGAATTTAGAGTCTTATTTGTTGTAACGCAACTATTTTCTTATTTCATGTAACATGGCCACTGTTACTGGGGAAGGAAAGTGCCAAATCCTACCCATTCTGAGTAAGCCAAGAGAGTAACTGTGGAAGCAGCATGTTAGTTGTCACTGAATGTTGTAACTCTCTATGGAAAAAGCAAATAGTCCAGGTAGTCTCGCAGGAGATGAAGAGCTGAAACCAGATATCAGGGTGGTTTGGGTTTTTTTTTTCCTCTTAACCAAAAGAAATGAGTATGGTTGGGAATATCGTACGTGTTGTAGGTACGGTTATACCTGAGACAGTTTTCCCATGATTCAGCAGTGTGGGTTTGTCTGTCCTTCCAGGCATGAATAACCGTGAAGTCTTGGAGCAAGTGGAACGCGGTTATCGGATGCCATGTCCTCAGGACTGTCCCATCTCCTTGCACGAGCTTATGATCCACTGCTGGAAAAAAGACCCAGAGGAGCGTCCAACGTTTGAATATTTGCAGGGTTTTCTCGAAGACTACTTTACTGCAACAGAACCCCAGTACCAGCCCGGTGACAACCTGTAACTCCCTGGTCTGCACACACTGTCACGAATTGCCAGGTGTCCCTCAGCCCTGTCTCACCTGCCCTTCAGCGTCCAGCTCCATGATTGGCTTCCAGGAGTGCAGCAGCATCTCTCAGCACTGCTGGGCAAAGAGGGGCTGGAGCTGGGAACTCGAGCAGCCCTCGCCTATGACCACTTGTCCTAATGATCTGAATGTCCTGGATGAAAAGGAGAAAAACACTTGTTTTTTCTTAATCAAAGACTCCTAAACTGCATTATATTGATGTTATGTAAACTGCAAAACCTCCGTTCATTGTAAATAGTAACTCAGTGCCAATAACTGATCCTAGTGCTTTCCTTTTTTTAAAATGCAAAACCTATGTGATTTTAACTAGTCTTCTCCTGACCCGACTAAAAGTATTATTTTCCAGAAGTGGCCTCTTTGTCTAAAACATTTTTTTTCATGTTTTAACAAAAAAAAAAAAAAAAAAAAAAAAAATCAGGACAGGTGTTTGGTTTTTTGCTTTTTTATATATAAAATATATATAATATATATACATACGTGTACATACCGTATATGGGTGCTACTGCAGAGGAAGCTCATTTTGAACTGAATGAATCCTGCTGCAGCAGTACCCAGAAAATGATAATTTTACTGCAGACATGAAAACACTGGTGAGATTGTGGAAGCCAGTGGTCTAATTTTTGGCTTTTGCCAAGCATGATTTTTTTAAATTGGATTGCACTTTTTGTTTATGATTATGTACCTGTAGATGGTTGTAACTTTGCTCTTTCAGGAATCATGTGCTGTATTTACAGTAATGTTTCCGATGTTTAACAAGTGTGTGATGATTTGTTCTTGAAACTAAAATGAACCTATTTAAAGCGAGAAAACTACAGCATCACCGTTGGAACTGGAAAATGGAAACTGCGAGGACTTCTTGTATCAGAACGTGTATACTGAAACGTTTCAAAAAGATTTATTAAACCGTGTAACCACATTCAGATGGTCTTAAAATCATAGCATCTTAGCCATGTCCAATGCTAAACTGTTGGTCACGCAACTAGGATTCTTCTGTTTTACGTGTAACATTTTTCCATTGTAAAATAAGTGTGTTCAGTGTCCTGTACTGCTAATGAAAGTACTTTCTCTGTGTCTGCAAGTTCTCCAGTGGAATTACTATGCACTTCTTTACATTTCATGGGAGATGCACAGAACAAAGTATTACCTTTTCAGTTGTCTGTACCAGCCTTGAATTACTTACGTTTAACCAAAAAAAAAAAAAAAAAAAAAAAAAAATTCCTTTCTATTTCTATTGAGTTTTTAATACTGAGTTGCAAATTTTAAAGTCTTAATTACATTTTGTTATGATTTATTTGCAAGTTTACATTTTAAAACTGTTTAACTTTCTTAATTTAGTAATTAAAAAAAAAAGAGCATTTTACATTTGGATAGTTGTTCATTTGTTTAAACTGGAGATGATGGTGGAGAGGAGATGAGAACGCTTCAAGAAGGGCAGTGGTGCTCTTTGGGGCTTCGCATTTGCTAGGAGTGTGCAGGTCTATGGGGCATCGTTTTCAGAATTCTGAAGTCAGTATGTTTGTAAGCAGCTGGAGTTCAACTGTAAGGAAGGTGGTTGAGTGCACAGCTGGTCTCTCCTCTGTTCTGCAGAAGAATTTCTTCTTCGATAATTCCTTTGCTTTTAATGTGAATACATTTGCAAGTGTTGCAGGAAAAAGAAATCTACGCCTTGTATTGTCGTTGCTCGAAAATACTGCAGCCAAGTAAGACTTCATGACAGTTTAAGCATTTTTTTAATTATTTAATAATCAGGTTGTGGATTTGTAGCCTGAATAGCCACACGTTTTCTAAAAAGAACTTTTTTTTTTTTGGTTCCTAACACGATGATGAATTGAGATTTGGAGAAAACACTGTCATCATTGTTTTCCTATTTTCTATACAAAGCAGTGATTGCAAATCCTCTTGCAAAGAGAGTTCTGCACTCAGCCTTTCTCCAAGTGTGACTTTACATGGCAATGTTGCTTGTTACCAGACTTCCATGATAAACTGGTTACCGTTTTACGTGTAGAGTCTCTAAGTACCGTTATGTACATGCTATATTCAATGTTTCTGTACCTGTAGCTGTGGAACACTGAAGAGGCCATAATTCTCGTTGGACTTTTTAAAATCAGTCTCCTCTTAATACTTACAAGGTGAGTTGTGGTCCTTTTTCCCACAGCTAGCCCCTGCCTTAAAGCATCACCCACTGCGCTAAGCTCTCTGCAGCAGCTCAGCTGGCTGGTGAAGCCAAAACGCCATGAACCCAGACAAGGGTGGCAAAGCACGGTCATTCTTCCAAGCTCTATAGCAGATGGGATGAGGCTAAAACACTTGGAATTTTGCCTGTGTTTCTCGTTGGAAGCAAGACTGAGATGGGGAGTCATTGGGATTTTATGGCCTTTATTTCTAATTCTCGAGTTTGCGGTTCCTCATGTCACATTCAGTCTGTGAGTACCTGCCTGCAGCCGTGTGCAGACTGCTGCTGCTATTGGGTGGCAGATCCAGACCATTTCTCATCGGTAGCTCTTCTGCTTCTTTTTCTTAATGTTGGGAGTTTTGTTGTTTGGGTTTTTTAATCTCTCAAATAAAAACATTAGTAAAATTTACCCAAGGTTGTTAGCATTTTTGCTATAAATTAATAAGATCGTTTCCTTAGCCGCTGTGTATACAGCACACATAGATGTGTGGTGACTGTAGAAGTAGAAAATATCTAGAAATATCCTCTTCTCTCCAATAATTGTGTTTAACGTAAGGCTAAATAAATCACAGCCAGGTGAAGACGGTTGGCCAAAAGCTCCGTGCAGCAGCACGCCTGACTCCAAACCTCCACGAAGAGGTGACCCACCGACAGCTGAGAGGACTCTGGGGGTGATCCCTATCTCTGGGTGGATTCATCTCATGCCAGTCCCATGAGAAATGACAAGCAGAGATGCTACAATGCCACAAAAGGGACACTTGGTACAATTAATGCTTGTTAACGTATTGCTGTGGGAAGGAAATAATGGGAGACTTTGGTGGATCCTCCGAAAGATCCAAAGTTTGTCAAAGGCACTGACATGATGTTCTTTGGCTTCTGCAAAAGGTATTCAACTTAGTTCTATGTGACGCTCTGACTTTGGTTTAATTACCACTGTAGAAATAAATACAAAGTAAATACAAAGCGGAAAACTGATTAACTGCTAACATCACAAAAGTAATCCCATGTGGAAAATCCGTCTACAGTGCGAGCACTCCTCATGAAGTCTATGTCCTGGAAAGAACTCATGCTCACCACAAGGGCAGAGTGCTGCTTGTCTTTGACCTTGCCACAGAACATGGAGGTGAGTGGGAAGTTGGTCAGATTTATTTGGATGAGGACCATCCCTTTCTCAGATGCTCAAATAAAGAATGCAGCATGCTAGTGATTGCTACCATATTGCACCCTGAGGGTCTAAGGGCCTCATGTGAGGCTGAGCCCAATATGCAAGAGCTATTAGTGTATATACAGTAGCTCCTCTTCTAATGCGAGACAATATTCATCCATCAAAGGCGGCTTTTCCTGTCTAATGGGAAATCACCACCAGCAGTGCAGACAAAAGCATATTTATTTTCTCAAATCATGTCAGTTTGAGGTTCTGTCAGTCTTTCAAGAATAATTGAAGTCTGTTTGCAGCTCAGAAATCTCATTGTGTTCTGCCATCTCAGTAGCAGTGTGATTATCATTTCCTGTGACTCACACACTGAAGGGGCTTCTGTGAGTCAGGGCAGTGTTCCCTGCCACCTTCACTGAAGGAGGGGACGCTTTAAGTTTGGATTTTCCTGCACAGTCCAAAAAAGAACCCACATTCTATCAGCAGAAAAGGAAAAGGGCCCCTGGCCAGGCTGCCACCCACACAGAACATGAAGCTCTGCCTCCCAGGCCACTGACTTGCCAGGAGCAGCTCTGATAGCTGAAACCAAGGTGCGGTCTGAACACGAGGAGGGAAGTGCCAGCTTCACTTCTGTCTGTGAGATGTTTTCGGTTAATGTTTAATACAGCCGGTGTTCTTGTGTGTATATATCAAAATGCAATTCACACGCAACATCCGTACCTACACAAACATCAATTCATCTCCTTGTATTCTCCCCCCGTAGCAGCACACTTAACAAAAATGCATTTGTAAAACAGGGCATGAGTGCATTAGAGGACAGAATAGTGTTAATAATGAAAGAGCTTCTCTTGTTGGCTTTCTTTTTTCTTCTTTGCTGGCTCCTACTCCTTGCACAGGCCAGGAGAGGGGCGGTGAGCACAGCCCTGCAGTGTTTGGGGCCTGCAGTCATGGCACAGAGGCTCTGCGGCTGATTCCCAAGTCAGGGAGGAAAAACCTTTCTCCCAAGGGCACGGTTGCAATGTGGGGCCTGCAGAAGGCCAACAGGGAGAGGAGTGCCCTGCTGGGATGCACAGCATTCCGTGTGGGCTGTACCTCGTGTGGTTTATGGGGAGAGCCAGAGGCCTCAGCACCAACTGTGCTGGTGGCACCTGTGTTCCATTGTGGGCCATCAGATGACAGCAGAGCAGTGAGCTCCGGCTGCAGGTGCTTTTACACAACATAAACAACTGATGAAGGGAGAGGGAGTAGCCTGTATCTAAGATAGTGGGCAAAATGCCCCGGGAGCTGTGTGTCTGCGTCTGAAGGGAAGGCATTATGCCTACCCACCTCAGGCAGGTGGGAGCCGGATTGTTCTGCTCACTGTTGGGAATAACTCAGCATTAAGCTCCAGAAATGGCTACAAGGGCAAAGAGCACAGATATGAGATTCTCCTCCTTCCTCCCTGGCTGGGCTGCAGCTTGCCGAAGGCTCTGGGCCGCTCTTCTGTACATCAGCATTTGTTGCTGAGCCCCTGCACTCAGAGCACTGTAAAATGTGTGGGGCTGCTGGTGGTCCCATCTTCACACCAATCCCTGAGGCTGGAGGGGGTGGATTTTCTTTCAAGGAAGAAAAAGAAAAGAAAAAAAACAGAAAAGAAAAAAAGCAGGGAAGATTTTTGATCATGCTGTAGCTTTATCTGCTTATTCTGGGGTTCACCCTGCCCAAAACCTTGGCACCGCTGACTCAGTATTCACACCCGCAATGCTCTGGGCTGCCTTCCAGCCCCATCACACCTCAGGATTTCCCAGAAGTTGTCCAGGAAGGCTCCCTCCTGCTGGAAAACGGATGCAGCAGTGCCCTTTTGACTCATGCAACATCTGCACTCCTTGCTGATGGCCGTGGCCTGGGCACAATCAGGTGGAGCCAAAAATAGGTGTTCAGCCAGAAGTCAGCGGGTGCTAACTCCTGGTCTGCTAAAAAACGTAAAAAGCCACATTGGGATTTGATTTATATTCTAAAGGCAGAGGCTGAGGTACGTTTGATCATCTGAGAACTAAAGTATGCCCTCAATTCCCATGCCTCCCATGTGCAGCCAGGCCTCCAGTGAGCTTTGTACATGACCTCACATACATCCCATGTATCAAACACACACCGCATCCTGAACATTTGCATATGGCACATGTCTTCTGTTCCACTTGGGTGGCCGTACCCTCCTGCCTCTAACTCCATCTCTCACCCCACAGCTCCTCATGCACTACTCTGGGTGTGTGTTGCTGAAGAAGTACGTCCTCTGGTCTTGCAGAGAGTGGGAGCTCTGTTAATTGTCAAATGTCGAGTGGGTAATAATCAATGGATGCCTAATTGGAAGCAACAGGGAATAAAATAGGTATTACTTAGCTCCTGCTCTTAATTAAGGGGATACGGAATGCTGTGGGGAAAATCTTAACAAATGGCAGGAGGGTTTTGTCATTATGCAAGGTTTAATTAGAAGCAGTGCATAAGCTGATGTGGAGGTGCTTATTTCTCCCCTTTCAGGTGTCTCTCCCGGGCGTGACTAGAAGATGCCAAAGCAAAAGCCTAAAAAAAAAGTGGAAAATGTTTGTGCAGGCGCATGGACACTGCTACACAGCAGGAAATGGAAGCAAACCCCTTCACAGTGCAACAGCAGTGAGGATCTGGCCAATTGAGGTTGCAGTGTGCCTTACACCACGGCAGGTGGAATGAAACGCTCATTATGATGTCTCCAGATTAACTCACATCACTAATGTGAAAAGCTGAGCAATGTGGAGTGCTTTACTCCAAACACTGAATCATCTGGGAACAAAAGCATTTATGATGAAATTAATTCTATGACTATGTAAATGCAGTAGAAGACGCAAGAAGCAGCACCAGACATTGGCGTTGTCTTCCTGATCAAAAATAGCAATACTACTCCTAAAGGACAAGCAACTGCTTTTTATAAAAGACAGCTCAGGGTGCTGTTGCCAATGAAAACAATGCAACCTGCATTTGAATATTAATCTGTACCTTCTGAGAGGGGCCCAATATGACACAGCACATTCTGCTCTTAAACAGTGTGCAGATGAGATACTAACTCTAAAGCATTCCTTGTTTGAGCCAGTGCTCTGTGAAGATAGTAGGCAGACTTCAGAACTACCAACAGCCTTCAGAATACAATTACGATGGCCTGGGTTTGGGGAGTGGGACAGGCTTTTCTGAGATAAATTCTGAGATAAACTTAGACAAGTTTTCTAAGTTTCCTAACCCAAAAGTAGTCAATTGCTTCTACAACTTTGTGGAAGAGCGTTTAGGTGGACCTCGGCTTTGCTCTTAAACCTGCTCAGCAGTATTGTTATCAATTAGCAGTCTTCCATGCCTTTTGTGGTTTTTTTTCTCTTTTTTTCAGACTTCTAAGAAAGTACCTGAAGCACAAGTGAAAGGAAGTACTCCATGTGAAAAAAGGAGGGTGAGAAGAGACCTCATCGCTCTTCCACAACTATGCAAAAGGAAGTGAAAGCAAGGTGGGAGTCAATGTCTTTTCTCAGGTGACAAGTTATAGGATGAAAGAAACAAATTCCAGTTGCACCAGAGGAGGTTTACATTGGATATCAGGAATGACTTCTGCACAGAAGGGGTGGTTAGGCATTGGAATGGGTTGCCCAGGGAAGTGGTGGGGTCACCATCCCTGAAGGTGCTTAAGAGACACGAGGATGTGGTGCTGAGAGATACAGTGACTGGACTGGATCTTTGGGGTCTTTTCCAACCAAAATGATTCTTTGATTGTAGGTACCTGCTGATTTCTGGGGGTTAGTAAATTAAAGAAGGAGCAGAGCTGGTCCTTTGGTTGCTGCTGCTGGCACTGTGAGGTCTGTAGGTCTGATTTCTAGACTCACATGTCTGTACACACGTGAGGACCAGATTTCACAGCCTGTTCCCCAGGCATCACATCCAGAGGAACAAGGCTGCTCTTGCTCCCTTCTTTGGGCCACAAATACCACTTCAAATAAAGATACATAGATGGCAATTTCCATGGGGAAATAACCCTAGGAGAATGCTGATTCAGATAGCACTAAATCCTAGGGGCATTTCTAGGTGGCCGAATGCATATGGAGCACATAAAGCTACTGGTGAGAGTTTAATGAAAGGCCACCAAGATGCTGAAAGGACTGGAGAGATCTAGGACAGTTCAGCATGGAGGAGAGGAGGCTCAGGGGTATCTCATCGATGTACAAATATCTGAGGGGACAGTGCAAAGAAGACATAGCTAAGCCTTTTCAGAGGTGCCCAGTGCCAGGGCAAGGGGCAATGGAAGTGGAACACAGGAGGTTCTCTCTGAACACCAGGCAGCCCTGTGCTGTATGGGTGATGGAGCACTGGCACAGGCTTCTCAGAGGCTGCAGTCTCCTCCTCAGGGATCTCCAAAAGCTGGACTTGGACCGGGGCACCCTGCTCTAGGTGTCCCTGCTTGGACAGAGGTTGGAGCAGATGGACCCAGGGGTCTCAGTCAGCCTCAATCAGTCTGTGTTTCTGTAGCATGGTATCCAGGGGTATAAACAGTGGAGAATGAGAGAGGCCTGTCCATAGCTGTTGCCAGAATAGGAGGTAGAAGTGTTTGATGGTATTGTGTGTGAAGGTAGAGATGTTTGATGGCAGCACAACACAGTCCTTTACAAACAGATCCCGCCAGCAATACAGGGCAGACCCCTGTTCAAGGCCCTGCTTTTAGCACTGGTGCAGCCACAGGGTGCAAGCTGCAGTGCAGTTGCCATGAGGCTGATGGGAAGCCAAATTCGGTGCGACTCAGGGCTGGGCCATTCCTCCTCAGGCCCTG